TTAATACTTTAAGTTAGATTAGCGCAGGCTTTAGTTTCAGATTATAAACCTATCTGCAATATTAGATTACACCTAATATCTATAAGCTAGATCAGATTAATATCTGCAGTAATATTAGTTATTCTTTATTATTAATTAATAGAACCTTTTTGTCTAAGTGGTATCTATATCTTAAGATTAGAACCTAAGCTATACTTATTACTATTTATAGTATTAGTAATAACTAATATTATACAGATTAATATATTATTATTAATCTTAACTTCAGAGGTACTATATTTCCCTAAAGCAACCTTATAATTATAACTTTTACCTGCGAAGTATTTATTATTAATAACTTATAAGCTAACGTTCTTCTTAATATAGATTACTTAAGACTAGAGAAGTTTAATATCTTAAACTCTATTAGTTATACTATTATTATATCTTATAAGGTTAAGATCTTAATAGCTATATTATATAATAGTACTTATTATAATATAAAAGTTATAGTATTATATTATATAATAATCCCCACTAGATTATATAGTAAGATCTAGATCTGCTATTATATTAATAATAACTCTTAAGATCTCTTATTTAAGCTAATTAAGAACCTTAATATTAGTACCTTTACGCTCCTTATAGATATAACTACAACTAAGATTATAGTTTATAATAATTATAACCTCTCTTAATATATCCCTAAAGGTATCCTACTTAGCTACTTAGTTTTAATTAATCCTTTAGCTTAAGCCTACTTAGTTAATACTAATAAGAATAATAAAGTATCAGAACTTATAATCTAATTACCTAATAATTATAATAAGAAGTATTTAATTAAACAGTATAAGATAATAGATATACACCTTATTAGTATCTATATCTATAATAATAGCAACCTTAATAACACTTAATAAATTGCAGAATTACTTATAGAGTTTGAAGATATTTTTTATAATATAGGTTTTACTAATATCCTTAAAGAAGAGCAGCTTTAAGTTTATTTTAAGTCTAACTAGTAATAAAATCTCTTAAAGAAATATAAGGTTTACCTTATTAGTCTTAATAAGTGTGAGATTATCTATAAAACTATTAGTAAGCTTATAGATAGTAATAAGGTTTTTCGCACTAAGACTTAGGTCTCCTTTATGTTCCTAGTTTTTATTATTTAGTGAGAATAAGTTATAGACTAAATTAAGAAGTTATATAAAGATAGTAAGATTAAAGAAACTGCTATAATGCGTCCTAATAGCATACTTAAGCCTAATAATAAGCCTAGTTATAAAGGTAGGATAGTTATTAATATCTATACTTTAAATAAAATCGTTCTTCTTAATACCTACTTAATAAAGTCTTAAAACTATATAACTATAAAGTATACTAATATAACTTATATTATAACCCTTAATGCTATTATATTCTACTACTAATAGTAACTACACCTCTAATCTTACTAAGTTTTCACTATTATAACTACTGAGGGATAGTATATATTTAATTACCCTATTATAGGTTACTATAACTATAACAGCTATATCTAATAATAGATTAACTATCTGCTTAATAGTACTACTAGTAACGCCTATTGCAATAATATAGTTATTATATCTAATAGCATTAAGAAACACCTCTATAATCTTTACTAGGTTCTCATGCTATTTCAACTTAAGAATATTTTAATTAGACCTTTAAAGTCCTATATTAGTTTCCCCTCTATAATAGTTCTTAGAAAGTTAGTTAACTCCTTTAGTCTTATTATACTTACTAAAAAGCTTAATGTGTTATATAAGCTTAACTTCTTTAAGACTCTTAAGTTATTAGAACACTTCTTAGGTATAACTAGATCTATATGTTACAACGTTGCGCAATATATAAATATCATTAATCTATTAGAATAGCATAAGACTATATTACTTAGAACTTATTATTATATTAATAAGATTACTAGTAAGGAGATTAAAGATAAAATACTAAAACCTGCTTATAAGTAATAAGCTAAAGTAATTAATATCCTATTACTAACCTCTAAGGAGCTTAATATGTTTAACTAGATTAAGACTAAACTTATATAATATATAACGCTTATTTATTACTTATTTAAGTAGATCTTCTTTATTAACTTTAATACTTATGCTAATAATATTAGCGTTCTAGTTTATTATATTATAGATAAATTATTAGATAAGGTTATTTAGGTTACTAATAACTAGTGAGAATATAAGGTTCTATAGTACCTACCTAAGACTTTAATCTAGCCTATCGCCTACTTTTCCTAACTACTAAATCCTATAGAGAAGTAATACTAATTAACTAAGCTTAAGATCTTAAGTTATATTTAGACTCTCAGTAAGACCTGCTAATAGATTGATATAATAGAAGTCCCCCTAGTTATATTATTTACTAATCATAAGTCTATTATTAATCTCTCTAGATAACTAAATATTACTAATATAACTGCTTATACTAGCGTTAATAAGAAGCTTATTTACGCTATAGAGTATATCTTATAATTTAATCTCTAATTTATCTATAAGGCTAGTAAAGATCATATTGTTCTAAATAGTCTCAGCAGATTACCTATTATAGAAGCTACATATAAGTGAGATCTAGCTATAACTAATAATAAAGCCCCTAGTATTCTTAATAATCTGCCTAATAATTGTAATAAACACTTAGTATTCTATAACTATATCACTCTATCTCTAATACGTCTCCTCTTAGAACTATAGGTCGCTAGAATCCCCCTTAAGTTTATAACTACTTTAGACTACCCTATAGTTATATTAATAATAATCTCTAATATATTTAAGAAAAAGATCTAATATAGATACTATAAAGATTTAATCTAAGTGCGTATTATTAAGTAAGTTTATAATAACGTAAAGCTTAAGAATAATATAGTAATCCTCCCTTTTAAGTAGCACTATAGTTTACTATAGAAAGTCTCCCCTAATAATATAGATTAACTAATAATCCTTAGATCCTATATTACTAATATCTTTATATCTATCTATAATAGATTACACTATAGCTACACTAAACTATTAAAGTTCCTCTTCTACTATTATATCTATAACAGCTTTAGCAAACTTTATAAATATCTCACTACTTATCCTAATTATTATATCTTCTAAACTTACTACTATATCACTTATAGTAACTTTTAATTAATCCTTCCCCCTCTTTATCCCTATTTTATAATCTTTATTAACTTCCTTCTTATATTACTAATAACTACTAATAGCTATAATTATATACTAGTTGCAGTTAATAAGTTCTCTAAGGAGATAATCTTAAAACCTAGCAAAATAACTTATACTACATAAGATTAAGGTAAACATCTCTTTAACTAATTAATAAGTAGTAACTAAGAAGTCCTAAAGATAATTTTAAGCGACTGCAATCCTAAGTTCTTATCTTAGATATAGGATACTATATAGAAAGGTTTCAGAACTAGCCTAGTGTATAGTACCACTTACCACCCCTAAACAGACAGCCAGACTAAGCGATTTATCTAATAGATTGAATCTACAATACGACACTATATCCACAGAATAACCAATCCTATAGACTAGATCCACAACGTCCCCCAACTGCAGTTCGAATGCAATAATGCAAAATCCGCAACTACTTAAAGATCGCTAAACGAGACAGTTAAGGGATTCACCCTTAATAACGTGGCCACAACGATTGCTAATTAAATCCCATAATCTATCTAGGTTCCTACAGCCCAACTTAAGATCCACAACGCGCTCGCAACGGCGTCTATATCCATAAAAAGGTTTTATAATAAGCACCATAGCGCCTAATTCTTTAATATTAATAACAAAGTCTACTTACGACTACACTATAGCTACACAACGCCTTAAGCCGCAACTATCAGTCGCAAGCTGGGAGAACAATTTGCTGGTCCCTTCCAAGTTATTAAGCGCATCAGCTGATCTGCCTATAGATTACAATTCCTGCTAGGATGGCGTATTTACGATGTGATCTTAGTTGACCACCTTAAGCCCGCAAGATTCGATCCATACGGACGATAGTTACCTGCGATCCCTCCGATCCGCATAGCAGATGAAACCATCGCCACGATCCTCAACGAACGCCGCACTAAAGCTGGAACCAAGCAATACCTCGTTTCCTACAAAGGCCTCAGTTCTGAATACAATCAATGGGTTAACGCCACGACGGTTACTGATGAAGCTATTCTCAACGCTTGGAACTCGCGTTAGATCGGAAACCGCAGAGTCTAACGACAACCCGCGACGAGCCGGATCAATACAGCCTGAAAGTTCCGCAACTTTGCGGTAACCGGATTTTACGACGGTTTTGGAGGATTTGGAGATATCCGAATGGATCGGAAATGGCTATACGACGGATTACTGGCATAAAAATTGTACTACTACACAAATGGTTGTGAGACGAGGACGTCTCATTTTTGCTGGCGGCATATTGTGAGGGTAGCCCCACAGGGCACTACTTGTGGCTACCTCACGCCCCAATGTACCTAGACTTGCACTTAACCAATACATCTACACTCACACCACCCATTGCTCACACCGGAGAATCAGATCATTCATCGTTGTCTGGCGGGAAGGATCCACCGATGAAGGCCTATGACGACATGCTCGGGTAACCGCTGGCCATTCTTATCTCCTTATCACCGCTGCGGAACACCAAGTTGGGGAATGGCAGCATGGGTTGAGACGAACCAATCACCACCTCGCGCCTGTGTCGGCCGAGGAGTTGCTTCCTCCGATCCAAGTGGATTGTCGGACGCGGCCGCCTGAGCTTCAGAGCTCACGCGCCTGGGTGCTGACACACTAAGCCGACCAAAGACATCACGGGGGCCTCGTCATCACCAGAAGCTTGTTAGAGGAGTCGCTTCTCACTCCTCATTTCATGGCATTCGCAGAGTAACTGCTCCTGTTGCGCTGGTAGCATCTGTCTTGGCTGGGCCTGCGATCTGAGCCGACTCATTTTCATCAAAGTCCAGAACTTCGGTTCAACTTCCCCGCATCATGACGGTCCTCAGTCATTTGAAACGAGTCCATCAACACAATGTTGCGACTCTGCGCCGCCAACCCGCCGCCGAAATTTCTGGCGCTTTGGGCGACCTCGGAACTTTGCTTCCCTTGATGATTGCACTCGCCGTGCAACGATCTATCTATCTTGACAGCACCTTGGTGTTTACTGGCATTTTCAATGTTGTGACCGGTGCTGCTTTTGGCATCCCGCTGCCAGTACAACCGATGAAGGTCTGACACCCCGTAACTGATTCAACGACGACAACTAACTTGATATCCCAGGCCATTGCAGCTGCTGCAATTTCTAGAAGCGAAGACAGCGGCATCAGAACTGTCATGGCTGCTGGTCAGTGGGTCAGTCTGGCGGTTTTGATCATGAGTCTCACTGGTCTTCTTCGCTGGGTTACACGAAATGTTCCCGTCCCGGTTGTCAAGGGTATTCAGCTTGGTGCTGGCCTCTCTCTCGTAATGGCCGCCGGTTCAGGCTTGCTTCGAGACTTGCACTGGACTCATCCCGTTCTGGACAATAGGCTCTGGGCCCTGGCTGCTTTCTTGGTGCTCATCTTCACGCAGGGACTTCCCCGCTTCCCCTACGCCTTATACATCTTCCTCTTGTCGCTTGTCTTTGCGTTCATTTCCATCCTGAACGCCGATCATCACGAGCCGCACAACCTGCCGTGGTTCCACGTCTGGGTTCCGCAATTGCTGCACTGGAACTTCAACTGGTTCAAGTATAAGCCCATCACGATGGCCATCGGCCAGCTGCCTCTCACTACGCTCAACTCTGTCATTGCTGTCAGCGCCCTCGCTGCCGACTTGCTCCCTGATATGCCTACCCCGACTGTCACCGGCATGGGCATCAGCGTTGGCATCATGAATTTGGTGGGTACCTGGTTTGGTGCTATGCCAGTCTGCCACGGCGCCGGAGGCCTGGCCGCTCAGTACCGATTCGGCGCGCGAAGCGGTGCCAGCGTCATCATCCTGGGCCTGTTCAAGATTATCTTGGGCGTCGTCTTTGGCGGAACTCTTCTCGACTTGCTGTCGCATTACCCCAAGAGCCTGCTTGGTGTCATGGTCATCGCCGCCGGTCTCGAGCTTGCCAAGGTCGGCCATAGCTTGAACCACGGTGCCTCTGACCTGTGGGAGAGTTCTGCAGGCAACAACGACGGTGGTCTTCTCAGACAACACCGCTCGCTATCTGACGATGAGAGGGCTGAAAGATGGACTGTCATGCTGATGACCACTGCGGGACTTCTTGCCTTCAGGAATGATGCAATTGGATTCATCGCGGGTATGTTGTGTTTCTGGGCCTATAGGGCTTCGGAGAGAACTGCGCGCTGGTGGCAGTCTAAGCGACCTATGTTCGGGGAGCGAGAGCCGCTTCTGCGTTAAGACGGCCACATTGGTATGACTTGCTTTGAGGGGCTCGAGTACTTGTGACTGGAAAACCTAAGTATGTGTATTTATGACCTAGAATCATTGCAAGAATCCCCCACCAGAGACTGGAGAGGGGCCATCCATCAATCCAACCGGTTCATCTCATTTACAAGTGCGTCTCAGCTGCGGGTTTGGCATGTTTTCTGGTATCCTCGAACTTACCAACGTGGATTTGACTTCAGCCACACGCTTCCAGGTTGTTGAGGTTCACTAGACTTGATTCAAAATGGACCTTGTTGGGAAACCTTCTGAACAGCGATAAGCTGCTATTCAGGTTGATGACCAAACCATGGATATGTCCATCACTGCCTCCACTGGTAGCAAAACTTCTGAGGACGAGAGAGTACTGAAAGCCGCAGGTTTCGGGCTCATGCAGAGACCAAGACTGATACACTTCAAGAAAAAAAGCCATCCAAAATGCATCACATAGAGTACCAAGATACCATACCCAAAGAATGTTTGCCTGCAGATTTGTTGCTCAAAGCAGCGGTTTGCATATGTAGTACCCAGAGCAGGGAGTCCACAAGGGTGAGGAAGTATTCGCCGGTTGGGTAGATTATCATTGGACGCTGACCGGGAAGTGGAAACCAAGTTTGGATCTACGCAGGGAGATGGCCACGAGGTCTGTCTGTGAGCAGTCTCTTGGGAGCGTGGACCTTGCTGATAGGTACTGAGAGGCAATTCGGACCTTGACCGAATTGCATCGTGAGATTCAGTCCCTTCACCGCAACATTGAAAAGATGACTCAGCCAAGGTTCAATAATAAGAAAGGGCCAGGAAAGATGAATCATTCGGGCTATGGATAGGTTCTTTCCTGTATCGTCTCAAAGTGAACTGCCCAGTCGTGTTTAGCTAATTGCCTCGGGAAGATGGCTTCGTTTGGAAAGTCGCAAGCACCTTTGCGCTTTCCTCCGGTCATTGTTTGGTCCTGAGAAGGCAGGCAGCGACGGGGCACTGCACCGGTGACTGGCGTCTGGCCTTGTCTCTTTCAAGGGAACGAGCGTGGGCCCGTGCTTTCCCAGCGCGGGGTTGACCAATAGGCCAGGAGATTCACCGAAGTCAGCCAATCAAAAAGGTACCCTTTCTCCACCGACCCTGTCAATCGGCAGGAAGGAGTCTCGCAGCCCGATTTTTTTGGGATCTCGCATTGTCCGCAGTCTCCTCAGGTCCAACCTTGTCGCAACAGACCAAATCGCCTTCAGAGGCTTGCCGAAGACGAAGGAGCTGGTCTGTCCGCTTGCAGAGCAGCGATGACTTCGTCCAACGCCGGCCAGAACGGCCAGGCGCCCGTGCCGACCACGCCGCCCCCAAAGAACAAGACGTCGCCAGCCTCCGCTCGACACAATCCCGACGACAACAACGCGACCAAGACCGACCAGCCGCGCGCCGATGCATCCACCGCCGCTGAGAACACCAAGAACGACACGTCTACCAACCGTCACACCACTCCTGTCGCCGTCGATACCGTCATGACCGATGCCGACGCCGCGACCACCGCGATCACGACCGCCCTCCCCGCAGCATCGCAGCCCGCTCCAGCCGCCCCGATGGATGCCGATCCCTTCAACTCCTCCTTCCCCCATACCCCAATGCCCAACATGGACCACGCCTACATGATGATGGCTCTCGCGCATATGGCAAACAACCAGATACCCAACCAGATGTCGCCACCTCCGACTGTCACGCCAGCCCAGGTCACGCTCCCGACCATGAGCAATGGCAACGACCCGCTCGTCGCAAGCACTCAGAACCTCGCGGCCGCCACACAAGGCCTGGAGTCCTTTGCGCGAATAGAATTCGCCGACAGTGTCTTCCAGATGACCACTTACGCCGTCATCATCGGCCGTGATCAAAAGGCCATGATCCAGGCGCGAAGGGACGAGAAGCGCAATGCCGAACATCGGAGAAGAGTTGAGGAGTACGAGGCTCTGGGACTGCCGCCCCCCTCTCCTGTCAGGAATGACCGCATCAAGTTCAGCAAATCGTACGTCAGTGAAGAAGGAGGCATGTTGGGACCCGAGTCCGACAGTGAGGAATCCGGACGGCCAGCGAAGCGACGTAAGACCACTAGTACTGGATCGTCGCAAAGACCCGAAGAGGAAGAAGCACAGGAAAACCTCATATCCAACAGACAGTACGTATCGCATACACCGGGCGCCGCTGCTGTCGACCTCGCATCTCTGCGGCCCTCTCCTCACCACGTTCCGCTGGTCGGCATCCATTCACCCGGACCCGACATTGCGACCAAGACCAAGGCCATCTCAAGAGAACATCTCAAGATCCAGTTCAATCGTGCTGAGTGCGTGTTTGAGGCTATTCCATTACACAAGAACGGCTTCTTTTGCGAAGATGTTCACCACAAAGACGGAGTAGTCGTGCTTCGGAGCGGCGCCCACTTGCAGATCAAGGATGTCGACTTTCGCTTCGTCATCAATGGTGTCCCTGAAGGCCGCACTGGCGCGGAAGACTTCGCAGAGGATAAGGACAATCTGAAGAAGAGCGGCAGAGCCCAAGGTGGCAAAGAGATGAGCTTCGAGTTTGAAGCCTCGCATGGAAATGGCGAGCTGAATGACTCTAGCGACTCGTCGCTCAGTCCCCCAGCACCGTCCGAAGATGAAGAATCAGACGCCGACGCCGAGGCAGAGGATGCGGACGTTGACGCAGAAGTTGAAGCCGATGCAGAAGCCGAAGCAGATGCTGAAGCTGAGGCCGAGGCCGAAGACGAAGCCCTCGCAGAAGCAGATGCTCAGGCTGACGAGGAAGAAGAGGAAGTGGAAGATGTGGAGCCTAGCACAGAAGTTAAGGCAGAGGAGCCCGAATTGGGCCACTCATTACAGCAGCCATTACCACTGCTTATTCCAAAGAAAAGGGGGCCTGGCAGACCGCCAAAGAACGGTTTCATGTCCAAGCGCGAGCAGCGGTTGCTCAAGAAGCAACAGCAAGAGATGGCCAAGAAGACGCTACCACAACCACCTCCCGGCGAGCCTCCGATCAAGAGGAAGGTCGGACGTCCAAGGAAGCATCCGCTCCCGGAAGAAGGGGTGGACCGACCAGAGAAGCGCAAATACAAGCCACGGAAGCCGAAGGGAGAAGACGGCGCAGAGGGATCAGACGCAGAGCGACGGGCCAAAGAAAAGAAGGAGAAGAAGGTCCGGCCGAAGTCGCCTCCCTTGGAGCTCAAGATTGAAGACTACACAGAGGAACAGCTTCAGAAGCCCAACAAAAACTATGGAGTTCTCATTGACGAAACTCTGACTGCGGCGGGACCCGACGGTCTTACACTGAAGCAGATCTACAAGCGAATCACGCAGAGATACCCCTGGTTCTACTTCCACACAGAGACAAAAGGTTGGGAATCTAGTGTACGGCACAATCTCATCGGGAACGAGGCATTCAAAAAGGACGACACCACCGGACTCTGGTCGCGTGTGCCTGGTGTGGAGCTTGATGCCGGCAAGAAACGGAAGGCCTCATCGCCGGATCGCTCGATGAGTGCCGGTTATGGCCATTACAACCACCACCCAACGTACGCTCAATACGCCCAGCAGCAGCAACAGCAATATCAGCAGCAGCAGCCTCAGCAGCCGCAACCGCAGCAACCACAACCTCAACCGCAGCAGCAACAGGCGCATATGCCTCCAGCGTATCAACATCTTCCTCATGCTTACCATACGCAGGCATATGCGGGTCAACAAGCTCAAGCTGCTGCTGCTGCCGCCGCCGCTGCTGCGCGAACACCTCAATACTCTCCTCCAGCAACGACTCCAGCCCCTGGTCAACCAGCGCAACCCCCGGCATCTCAACCTGTTGCGCCTGCAACGCTTCCCGGTTATGGAGCTGCTGCCGCGATTGCCCGACCTCAGGGCGTCGCCGGTAAGCAACCGACTTACAGCTCACCATATGCATCGCGACCTCCTCCGACACATACTGCTGTCAAAGCAGAAAACGGCACCACACCATCAGCACCGCCAGTCACACAGCCTGCTCCGGCCGTCCCCCCTGGAGCTCACCCACCACCGATACCCGCTGCTACACCGCAGCAAACCCGACCCACACCAACGCCTCCAGCACCAGCCGAACCTCGTGCAGTCATCCAACCTCGCCTATTGTCTGCAGTCAATGGCCTCAAAAACGGTTTGATTGACAACTTGAAGAAAGCAAAGAATCCGAAGGCCGAAACGATCGTCATGTCTGCCCTCAATCGGGTCTTGGGGCTCAAGAGTGCTGCCACAGAGAATCAAGCCATGGAGGACATTTGCATGAAGGGCATGCAAAAAATTGTCGACGGCTTCTTAGCTCCAGGCAGCGGCACGCCTGGCTCTGGTGGCACACCACAGCCAAGTGGGTCCAACAGCGTCTTCGAGCCCAAAGTCTTCCAGTCCTTGCTTGGGTTTAAGAATGTCTCGTCCAACGCCCTCAAGGTTAGAATAGGAGAAGCCAAGGCTGAGGCAGTCACCCTGTCCGCCATTGACCGAGTGCTCGGCCTAGCCGATGCAAGTATCGTGCCCCCAACCGCGGAAGCTACAGCGTCTGGCTCGCCGGCTGCAGGCTTGGATGGGATCGAATCACACCTAATTAACTCGGTGAAGCAGTTACTGCTAGGTCTAAATCAGAAGTTGCATGGAACATAAGTATCAATCTAGCACGAGAGAGGGGGAGAGAGGATTTCGCAGCAAGGTCACCTATGCAGCCCTGGGGCCCTTTGCGTTGTTTCTGGAAGCGAATGATCATGAAATAGCGAAATACGACTACTCATAGCGTAGCTAGGTATTGTCGATTGGGGTTTAGCACAAAATATCTTGAATTGTTTTTACAACATGTTCTGTCGTCAGAGACGTGACGTACTTGATGTGCCTCGCCATCACTACTTCTTCAATACGGGAATTAACGCCATGCATGCCTATGCTGCCTCCTAAAACGCCGTTCGTTCCTTGTCCCACAACACAGATGATTCGCGGACGTGTAGAAATTTGTCCAGTCCCATGCCAGCCAAAGCCGCAATATGCCCGCAATCAACTACGCTGTCCGTGTAGCACACCAGATCCGTCATTACACGATTATAGTCTAGCGGGTGAGCTCGTGTAGATGGACGCATGGCCCACGACTCGTCGTTGAGATTGTTTGGAAGCATCTCCTACCCTGGTTGTAATGTCTTCATCCATGCGATCCCATCCAGGTCCTGCAAAGTTGGCAGACATCCCGGTTCGGTCGTCTCTTTGGTGACCGAAGGCCTGTCTTGCGTTGACATCTCCCGGCGTCCAGCCGTCTGCACTGTTGGGTGGGTTGTGACGATAAGTCACTGGCCCGGTTGTTGCGGTATAACGAAGTCTATCTCTTAAACGAGGCGGGGCTCTAAGATCCCCCCATGCTGCTCCGTCATCATTGGGTCTCCAAGAATCTTGTCTTGTTGGCGCTTGTGGAATCGTGGGCAGCGTCTCGAGGAACTTGTAATCGGGGAGCTCTGCGGGACGGTTGTGATCCGACATCTCAAGCGGGCGGTCTTCGTTGAGCATCTCCCAAGGGCCACGATATCTCTGCACCTCGCTACCTTGGGCCTCCGACGGACCCCAGCCAGCTTCTGGATGGGCTTTATCGTCGGGCGGTTCCGGGTACTGCGTGTCGTTCAAGGTGATAGTGTCCTCTGAAGACACATCGGAATCTTTGGTCGTTCTTTTCGAGACGGTAAGAAAGCTTCGCTTTGGTTTTGGGGGGTTTGGCCTCGACATTGGTGCCTGGTTCCCGGTCTCTTTTCTATTATTGCGGACGATGTATATTACGAGAATGATCGTGATGCAGATGAGAGCGAGGCCGCCGAGAACACCTGCGATGATTGCCGCGAGATTCAGGCGTGATCCAGAGGTCGACGAGTCTGCTGGAGTCGTGCTTGTCGTTGCAGGAGCTGGTGTAGTACTCGTTGCCGAAGGAAGTGATGTTGAGGAAGCGGGCTGGATAGACGCAGTGGGAGACTCTGAGGTCGCGGCCGAAGAGGCAGCGTCCTCGCTGGATGGATCTTTGGCAGCAGAGGAAGATGAGGATTTTACAGCACTCGAGGAAACACTTGAACGCCCAGTTGCGGGGATTGTGATGTCTGGGAGCGAAGTCGGTTTGATGGCTACAAGATTGACTTCGGGTGTGTGCCAACAGAATATGTTGAACATTTCGATGTCAATGCCCGAAGTCATGATATAAGTTGCGCAGTAATCTTGCTCCTCAGAGCTGCGACACTCAAATACTGTTAGCGGCTGAAATGCAAGGAACGATTCAACATAAAGGAGAACGGTTTCCCTCAAGGTCAAAGTTACTTGCCATGTAAGAGTCGCAGTGCCCACTCTGCCGCAACCAGTGCTGCAGGCGTGGGAATCATAGCACATGGCAGGGAAACTGCAGTCGTACCCATTCGTGATCGAAGTATCGCAGCTGCCCCATAACCTATCGGTCATTGCGTGTCGACATACTGATCCCGAGCCTGCAATCACGGGCTGCGTGCTGCGGCCGCTTATGTACCCGCAAAGTGTTGTTGGAGTATACTGACGACGGTCATGTAAAGCTCGCCGGACTGCATATGAGGGTGGCGCCGGCGTTGGCAGCGGACTCGAGGGTGCGACCGAATTGCGACTTGCTATCTTGGCTTTTGTCCATTTGGGGAGGATAGCGAAAAACAGAATAAGGATTCTTAGAATAATCATTGGTGCCCAGAATCGTAAGACACTTCTTAGAGAGAGGAGAGAGAGGAGCAGTACAAAAGCTCGATTAAAGCGACTCAGCACAGTGAGATTAACGAATAATAGGAGCCAGTCCAAACTTGTGAAAAAGGATTAGAGAAGTCGATCGCGCAGCCTTCACAGTCAGAGTGAGTAGCGTGGACGATTGTGGAAGGAGCTTTATTTGGAGGATGTCTACCACATGCTGCTGGCAAGGCACCTGATTTAAACGGAACTCAAGACATTCGTTGCCCAATGCAATGCTTGAAGCCAGTGGCTCGGGACTCTGGGAATAGTTTCTTGGCTTTCACAGAGACTCAAAGAGATTGGCCATTCCTCTGGCTTCACGTCGGACATCCACCTGCTACTGTCCAGATACGGATGTCATTCGAGCCCTCAGAAGCTCAACAACGGGCAAAATCATCACCAACAACAAGAAGGCTTCAAATAGCGGTATTGCGGCGTACAAACCAACAACATTATCGAGAGAGCGTTTACACCGTGTCTCTCATTGGCCCGGCAAAAGCGGAGGCTGGTAATCGCGCGGCAAGCCGACCATCGGTGGGTCCATAATTTCGGCCGGCATAAGTGGAGAATTCCCTGCGCCGCTTGCCGGCATGGCTCGGCGTCGGATAGGATAATCATCTCAGCCTGCTTCTTTGGAAAGCCAGTGAGAATTCCTCTGTTATTCATACATGAAGCTATTCGCACACAAATTCATACACGTCGAAATCATCATCAGCGAAGATATCGCGATGAGCGGTCCGATCGCCTCTTCTGGGGTGCCTTGCTGCGCAAATCAGTTGGAAGTCCCCAACAACAAACGCCCCGTTTGCTTTCCAACTCAGAACCCCTAGCAAGCTAGTGGGGCCCCCAAATAGCGGCTGCTTTCTGAATGTGACCCTCCCTTGCGCAGTCAATGTGATCTGCTTGCTCTAAATCATGGGTCCTGAAGTTTGTTGGAACATGGGGTCGGATGGGAGGGGGGTTCCAACAGTAGATATGAACAGCGAACATTGCTGTCAAAGGCCGATAGTCTTTCTCATTCCCCCTTTCAGTTCTTCTGATTTCTCTTCAGCGCTCAGAGTCCTCGCTCGTCGGAGACTCGATGTGATCTTCTCCTTCATCAGCAGGTTATGATGAGGCAATCGCTTGCTGTCGCTTTACGTTTCGGCGCTATTTGCCTTGCCCTGACCACCACATTGATCGGCTACGATCTCTTTTACGGGAGCGGATACTTGGAGGTCGTATACAAGCCATTTCGTAAGTGATCATTCGTGTCGGTCAGATTTGTCAATCATCAATAGGTACTAAAAGTTAAATTCGCAAAGGACATGGCGACCCAAAGTACGGCAGCAACAGCCATGCGACTAATAGCACTACAAGCATCACAAATCCCATGAACCCATCGACTTCTTTGCCGACCCCAGCTCCGACCTCTCAAATCGATTCAAGCAATCTTCCAGACGGCGATCCGGAACTGCTGAAAAGTGCCGGGCGATACATCAAGTCCATCCTCGACCCCGATGACACGTCTCTTCCCCGGCTGGATTGCCCTCGCATCGACTCCCAACGCTATGAGTACCTCAACCCAAATCTGAAATATCAAAAGCGCAAGTTCTTCTTTGCCCTCAATTTCCGACAAAAAGTCGATCTCCTCCCCCGGCTCATGGGCTCCATCACCGAAGCCATCCGCTTTCTTGGTCCCGAAAATTGCGCCTTATCCATCGTCGAGGGCAACTCCGACGACGGGACCTACGAGGTCCTAAAAACTCTGCAATCTCATATGGAGAACATTGGTATCGAGTATTACTTCCAACACAGCGATCTGGACCCGGGCGCCGGCGACCGAATCCCAAGGCTTGCTGAGCTGCGCAATCTGGCCCTCGCACCTCTGCTATATCGCGGAAAGCATTATGCCTCCGATGCCACAGTACTTTTTCTCAACGATGTTGCCATCTGCGCGGAAGATATTCTGGAACTTGCCCACCAGCGTCGTCGATTGGGAGCGGACATGACTTGCGCCATGGATTGGACATATGTTGGCAATGATCCGACTTTCTATGACGTCTGGATCAGTCGTACCATAGCAGGCGACTCGTTCTTTGAGATTCCACCGGACGGCAACTGGAACTCGGCTTGGAACATATTTTGGAACGAAGCAACCACGCAGCAGCTTTTCCGAGATCACCGTCCGTTCCAGGTCTTCTCTTGCTGGAATGGCGCAGTGGCCATTGCAGCGCAGCCTCTTCTGGATCGAATAGTTCGTTTCAGAGCACCTGGCCCGGGGGAGTGCTTTCAAGGAGAACCGTCCCTCTTCTGTAAGGACATGTGGAACAATGGGTTCGGAAAGATTGCCGTTGTACCCAGCATCAACTTGGAGTACAGTGATGAGGCAGGTAGAAAGATTAAGATGTCGAAAGGATTCACAAATCAGTGGGTTAAACCAGACGAAGACGAGAAGCCGCTAGATTGGAGCAAAGAACCTCCGGAGAAGGTCAAATGCATGCCGAGCTATGAGAAGCAGACATGGGAGCCTTGGAACCAGGGATTGGAATGATGGATTTTGGGATTTAGACTTCTTATAAATTTATAGAATATAAACTATGTGTGCATTCTGGCATGTGCTGATATTGACGCGCCAACGTCACCGTTGGATGGCCGTGCATAGCTCTACTTGACCTTGTCAAAGATCAGCTTTTCCCAGCAATCAGGATCCTCCACATCGATTTCTTTGATCTTGTTAGACCAATATGCCGAGAGTCTGCCTGTGTCATCGAATGGCCGAAGTCGTGCCCATACCGCCCACATTCTTACCACCGCCTCAGCTGTCGACTCGCAGACCTCGAAGAATTCGCGATGCTGTACAGAACAACCAGGGCACTTATCTTTTCTCCGGTAGTTGGACAGAAGTATGTGAATGATCTTTTCCATCTTGACGTGATGCGCAACTTTGTACGCGAAGACAAGTTGTGGTTCGTAATGGCACTGGTCCTGCCACTCTTTCATACGTCTTTCGTAATCGTTCGTATAGCCAATCTTAACCACCTGACAGGCCTTAAGGTTGATTGTCTTATGGTCTTTAGGCAGTTTATAGCCATATATATATCCTTCGCCTTTGGTAAAGCCCTCCTTTTCGCTCTTCATGAAAATCGCGTTGAGCTTGTTGACAATGTCCTTATTGATCGTACCAATACGTTTTGGTTGATGGTACGGCTCGAATGTGTGTATGGTGTCCTTCCATTTGACTGTGTATTCGAGCGGGTCCACGGCAAGAGGGACCGCTTCAGTCTTGACGTGTTGATCGTCTTGTTCTTGTTTAACCGCGATGTTTGCCAACGAGAATTCATCTGGCTTCGTTTCGGAATCATAACATGTTGATGACTGGACTGTACTTGGCGGTTTGAGAACGTTGGCTCGGGTTCGTCTGAGATGAGTTGAAGCTTTAGTCGATGTTGAGTGGTGGTCGGTTTCCGCCTCTTGAGTTCCCGCAGCATCATGGCTCAGGAACGAGAGCAGGCGGCTTCTCCACGGTGCCACTTTCTCCGCAATCTGAGTTTGGTGGTATCTTTTGCAGAGAACAAGAGAAGCGAGAGTCTCTAAATGATTGATCGCGATGGGTATGCTTCCGCTTTCGACGATATTGAGCAGGACGGGTGTAATCCGAGAGCGGGAGACTTTGCTTATTGGGTTACCACAAGTCGGCTTGTTCTTAGAATACCCTCGACAGGTGGTACAAGCATTGAATTGGGTGTCGAGGCAGCGATAGAGCTCGTTGGTATTCCTCACCCATGATGTCTGAATGATGGCCTCCATTGCAAACATAATTCAAGGTTTGATGTTAAGAACTAGCTCTTGTCACAGCCTCCTTGATGTCGCAGCATTGCTATCATGACCAATTCCAAGAATTCTAGGTCATTTATAGGAGTTCGAGTGACGGGAAAGCCTCTGAGGAGGCCTCGGTAAGGCTTACAGGCCTGGGCCATAGCCACGCCACACTCCAACATGGCAGAAGCGGTGGGCCGCAAATTGACAGCCAACTGGGTGGAATTCTGGACAATACTTCCGTACTCCCATGGTCAATAACTTATGTATTAACTGGTATCGTTATTATTGCCGTCCCTTTAACCGTATCTGTCGTGATCTACATCGTCTTGTTCTTATAGTCTTTAGCGTCGTCTGATCTGTTCTCGTCGCTCAAGTAGTGAGTAATATCTGCCGGAACAGCAGACTTCATACCGTGACGGTACTCCTAGGTTCAAAAAGTCCATCGCCGCCCATGTTACGAGACCTCGATGTACAGTGTTTCCGTCTGTGTGAATGGATTCTCACGGAGAACTGAAGTGCTGGTGACAATTACCCAGCTAACGTCGTTGGAGGTTCAGGTCTGTTCGCCATGTTGGCCGTTGGCGGTATGAACACCAAAAGAGGACTCACCGCCGACGATGAAACCCTCGGATCCAGTCTCTCGGGTCTGGAATTGGCGCCGCAGTATCTATCAGCAAGCATGAAGCGAAGAACCACGGAAGAAAGTGGAAAAAGTGTTGCAGGTGATGGCGTGCGGAAGACTTGTCGTCGGCGGTTGCGGAGCGAATGAGAAGTTGTGCACTGGACTTGGCACATGTGGTGCTGGTATGTACTGTCTGCCAGCCGGTCAACGAAACGGCCACCACCCAGGCTGTGCTGTGGACTCATTCATCGCCATAACTCGAGCTCTACGCCCTCGAAAGTCTGCTACCGACAAGTAGAAATGGAAAATCTTTTTCCAAAAGCAATGCCTTCCCGTCAGCAATGGTGATTGATCATGTCATCTACTTTTATAGACAGATAGCGATCCACTCGACATTAGGAATGGTCTTGAGCTGTTCAAAAGCAGTCAACCTTCACGTAAACTCAATCCATATCTGGAAAGGAAGAGTCGATCACAAATTTCACGAGAGAGCACAGGAATGCCCTGTTGGCGTGGTGCGAACTTGGGTAGCGTTGGTGTCGGATAAGTGGCGAGCATCGATACGGATGGCGCAGACTCAAGTGGGCAAACCAAAGCCTTCTATTATACTGATTGTGCGTTGTGCGAGCTCAGATATCCCTCACCCTTCGAAGACGATATTGTCGTGCGTTTCAATAGCCCTATTGGTTGCTTCGCTCAATGTCCTCGCGAATAGCCAGCACTGAAAAGCAGCAGCACTCATTGTTAACACTCAGACAATCATTGATGCGACCCAGCCAGATCAGTGCGACCACTCATGCCAGGCTATGAACTTCTTCTCCAAATCGATAAAATCTAGGCGATGGAAATCTCGGCCGAGTACCGATTGACTTATGTCACATGCGGTGAGGGAGAGTAAACTGGTGGAATAAGAACGCGTACACACAGATGCAAGTGTGCAGATCGTCAGATCGTGCGCCGGTGTAAGGCGCGTTTGAACAGTAATCCGGACTTTAAGGAGATAAAATCAATCTAGTGGCCACTGACATCACTGCTCCGCACCGGCTCAACAGTTTCGAGAACTTGAAAAACAATCGACTCTCGGACTGGACATCAACTTGAAATCCACAATAGTCAAAGAAAACCTATACCTTTTGTTTTCGCACAGCATGGACTTCGGATCCGAAACACAGGCTGCTTCTTCAAAGCGCATGTACACTGCGCGGGCCGACAACTATGAAAATTCATTTCATCCCGACTACACCAAGCGCTTCATGGCGCTCGCCGACGTCCAGCCGGGCGAGCGAGTTCTGATACTGGCTTGCGGTACCGGGCTTGAAATCTTCATTGCTGCGGAGCAAGTGGGAGAAGAGGGCGAGATTGTCGGCGTTGATATCACAGACGCAATGTTGGCCAAGGCAAGAGAGAAGAAAGAGCGTCTCAAGCCAAAATCGGACATACACTTATTCAACCACGACATAACGGATCTGGACGGGTTGAAAGAACTCAAGGACAAGAATTTCGACGTCATCATGTGCTCGAACGCATTTGTTCTGCTCGACAATCAAGAGCAAGTTGTCGCTTCGTGGAGGAAATACCTGAAGCCTGGTGGGCGGCTGCAGGTTGACATCACCCACGAGAACAACCTCAAGATCGGGCTTTTGCTAGAGCGCGCGGCGAACAGACTGGGGACCAGATTCCCTAGTAACAGGACGTGGATCAAGGATAGGAACTCATTCAAGCAGATCCTGGAGAAGGCCGGCTATACGGTGGAGAAGATCGAGTTGATGGACAAACTAACTGGTCAGGGTAGCACGTTCTACGGCATAGACCAAATTGACGAGCAATTTGACGGGATTATCAGCACGCCGTTGACAATCAACATGGCGACGGACGAATTCAAGAACGAAGCCAGAGCACTATTTCGTGAAGAATGGGAAAAGGATGCTGTCGATGGCAAAATTGAGAACGTCGATGCCCTGTATGTCTATGTAGCCCGGAATATGTAGGTCGCAAGGCTCTGTTAGTCTAATGCGAAACATGGAGATGTAATGTAATACATGTTTACAACTTAGCCTTGGCGCTTCCTTTCAGGTTTGGTTTAACAGGGACCTTTGGGTGATCTCCTTCTAACGCCAGACCCGTAGCCTTCTCAAGCTCTTCAACAGCCTCATATGTCCTGCCAAGGTGGACCTTGATGGTTCCAAACCCCTGCTTCTTAGCCTCCTTGAGGTTCTCGCCTATATCATCGAGGAAGAGAATATCGTCTGGCTTGACCCCATCGGCCCAGCCCAAGGCCCGGCCTCTCTCGGAGTCTGCGTTCTTGATCGCATACTCATTGACGGTCTTCACAGCAAGTTGATATATCCTTGGGTCAGGTTTTCGAAGGCCGACATGCGCTGACGAAATGAAGACGTCAAAGAGGCTGCGGACAGGGTGATCGAGAAAGTCCTTCGTCCATAATTTGTGCCCTTCCGGGAAGACGACGGTGTTGCTCAGAGCGGCAAGAATGTATTTACCGCTGGCTTTCAGATTCTTCAACGCTGGGTACATCCATGGGTCCGGGGGGATCGAGTTGGTCATCATGGTGTTGAATAAATACTCTCCATCAATATCTGGTACAGGCGGGACCTCCTTTGGTAATGATGGGTTCTTGGCTTGCTGTGCAGTGTAAAATGCCACCCAACGACCTTGATCGTGAAGGTCTTTGTTGAAACCTTCAAAGAAGGCCTTATCCATGGGGATTGAGCCCGTTTCCAGACGGTGCCAGAAACCGGTAGGGCTCGTCTTGGAGATGGAGTAGTTGACCCATCCTGGCGGGATGCCGAGACTGAGCTCGTAGTCGAGAATGGATTGGAAGGGCGAGACGACCTAGTGAGTGTTAGGCAAACCAATTGACCGTATCACCATGCACTCACAACCCACAACCCCAAGACCGTGGATGAATGGGAGGACTGATGAGATGAGAGGGTTCCACTTACACACACTCCGCCAATGTCGAAGAGGAGAACCTTGGGCTGCTTGGATCCGGTCATGCTGTCTACGGCTTCAAGCACATGGTCAACAAAGAAGGTGTCTGATCCCTCGAAGGACTCCATGTTATTGAGAAAGCGAGATGTGCACTATCTACTTGTATCACGACTCAGCGCGTCGCTCTGGAGGCGGAGACGGTTGATCGGGGCCGAAACCTGGGGGAAGCTTGACCCCCACCTCGGTGACAATTCCCGTGGACCTCGGCAGTAGGACCAAATTGACAATCCACTATGAACTCCCTGCTAGCGGGTCGCTCCACGTGACTCGTGACTGACCAAAGTCCGCCGGTCCCGTGACTCGTCCCCGACCAGCTTCGCAGACGACCGGCAGGCGCGATCGATGGTGGGGCACTCGCTAGGGCTGCCAAAATCGCCCACACAAATTTATCACGGAAAGAAGGTCTGGAAAGTTTCCCTCCGATCGACAACCCACGACAACACCAAAAATCGACAATTAGCTGAGCCAACCGCCCGCCAGCCAATACCGTCAAGATGGTAAGTTGAGACAACTCACACCATTTCTTCGATATCGAAGCGAAGACGACTACGACTACACTCTGCCACAATGTATTTTGATGAAAATCAAATGAACTTGGCATGGCCCTAGCTGCAGGCAGAAATGTCTCTTGGGGAAAGGAGTCAAAGCAAGATGCTTCGGATCGAGGGCCAAATCTGAAGCGCAAATTGCTGACTCGGGATTTTCAATCGTGACAGGCCTTCCACAAGTTGGTGAAGAACAGCGCGTACTACAGGTTAGTTCTCAATTGGCAGTCGCGACAAATTGTGCGCACAATGTACTGACATCGAACCTCGCAACAGCCGCTTCCAGACCAAGTACAAGCGCAGACAGCAGGGCAAGACCGACTACTATGCCCGTAAGCGTCTGATCACCCAGGCCAAGAACAAGTACGGTGCCCCCAAGTACCGTCTTGTGGTCCGCTTCACCAACCGCGACATCATCATGCAAATCGTCACCTCCGAGATCTCTGGTGACAAGGTCTTCGTCGCCGCCTACGCCCACGAGCTCCCCGCCTACGGCATCACCCACGGTCTTACCAACTGGGCTGCCGCTTACGCCACCGGTCTCCTGATCGCCCGCCGTGCCCTCTCCAAGCTCGGCATCGACAAGGACTTCACTGGTGTCGAGGAGGCCGACGGTGAGTACACCCTCACCGAGGCCGTCGAGACCGACGATGGTGAGCGCCGCCCCTTCAAGGCCTTCCTTGACGTCGGTCTTCACCGCACCTCCACCGGTGCCCGTGTCTTCGGCGCCATGAAGGGTGCCTCTGACGGTGGCATCTTCGTCCCCCACTCCGAGAAGCGTTTCCCTGGTTACGACATCGAGACCAAGGAGCTCGACGCCGAGACCCTGAAGAACTACATCTTCGGTGGCCACGTTGCCGAGTACATGGAGACCCTCGCCGACGACGACGAGGAGCGCTTCAAGTCCCAGTTCCAGCAGTACATCGACGACGACGTCGAGGCTGACGGCCTTGAGGACCTCTACACCGAGGCCCACGCTGCCATCCGCGCCGACCCCTGGAAGAAGCCCGAGGGCTCCAAGAAGACCAAGGAGGAGTGGAAGGCTGAGTCCAAGAAGTTCAAGGTCCAGCGCCTGACCAAGCAGGAGAAGGAGGAGCGCGTCAAGCAGCGCATCGCCGAGCTCCGTGAGGAGTAAGCTTGTTGTTGTTGTTGTATCTAGCGGTTAAAAATCCATTCACGCGTGGGGACATCAGGGCATTTTGACGTTTTGGCATGACTTTTTTCTCAAGTCTCTCGGAGTTATGAGGCAAACAAAATCCGGAAGGGGATTATGATGGGTCAAGGGAAAGGAACTCTAACACAATTCAATAAGAATATCCCAAATGCCATACGTCAACCATTGAAGTCGATATAAAAATGAACAACAGCGTGAGATATGAACCGTGGCTAGCCGACTTGGCTACCGTAGTGGTGGTGTGTGCCGGCCACAACGACGGTGCGACGGCGAATGCTTGAATCCTCGCTAAGGCATCCCAAAGGCATGGTGGTTGACCGACGGCCTAGCTTGGTTTGATCGGACCTGGCTGGGCTTCGAGGAGGTTGCACCGAGACGAGGTTTAGGCGTGTGCTGAGGCCAAGACCAGGGCACGAGACCCCGCATGGAAGCACCAATGATATCAGATCACGCCAGGGAAATGGTGAAAAATGACGATCTAGGTCGACAATCAAGAGATGGCATCTGCGGGTTTTTTTTTTCACTGTTCCCTACCTCTCAGCTTCCGGGGTCGGAGGGCATCGGAATGGCACCAGCGGCAATGGTTCACTATCGTGCTTTTAGCCTTATGGATCTGGCGGGGGCTGGCGGTCGATGATGTCGGAATGGCCAGTTGAAGGACGATTGAAACCGAGTGCCTTAAGGCTTGTGTCTCGCCTAACCCCCTTGGACGCGATGCTGCTACTGCAAGGCAGAGGAGTGATGCGAAGGGGTTGAGAGGGCCAGGCCCACAAAGTGTCCGAAAAGCGTTGATGGCGACATGAGGTAAAAGAGAGGGTCCGCGGCATGTGAGCTGCTCGATTTGAGGGATTGAGAGGCCAAATGGTTGCACAACAAGGCACATCTCGTCAGTTCGCGCGCGGGAATTACGGGATGGACGGAGGGTACGGCGGCGGCGGGGTGGAGGGACCCAGGAAACGGTTTTCCCACCAAGCCCCGAAGCACATCATCTCATGGAGCGAAAAGAGGAAAGGCGTCTGTGTCTGTTGGGTTGTCTTCGGGGCAATTGTGCGAAGAGGCATTGGCATTGCTGCAGAACGAGAGAAGAGAGCCCACCGTCCCCTACCCTTCCCGGGCGACTTGCAGGGTTGATGGTGGATGATCCAATTGTTTTTTTTTTTCTGGCGGTGTCCGGCCGTCTTCTTTTAGAAGGGAGGGGGACACCGCTGGATGGGAGCAGGGGAGACCCTCAAGGGCCAACCGCGATGTCCGCTTCTCAGGAAGCGAGGCGGCCCCCGTGATCTCGCGATGCTCAGGGGGCGGTCAGTCAGTCGACCAGAGACTCCGAGTCGAATGTAAAGTGGCCCAAGTGCATTTTTACGGGATTGAGTTACCTTAGTCGCAGACAGCAAGTCGTTATCCAGGGACCGGTTCTTTGTCAGTTAATGCAAACGTGGAGAGGCATCTGGACCCTGAATCGCCCTCGCCCGCAAGGCGCCGCCATGGCCAGCGGAGGGCTCAGCTACAGCTGCAATGGGCAAGTGCGAACTCTGTTTGTACAGCAGAAATTCGTTGGAGGCTTGTTGCATGCTTGTTGGCAGCGTGGCGGCGTATCGTGCCTCAGAACTGGAACCCAGAGGCGAGCCTCGAGGACGGCGTGAGACGAGATCAAGGCTGGGAGAGGCGTAGCGGGCTGTAAGGCAGAGGAAGCTAAGACATGTAGGGCGAGTGTAGGTTGGACGAGGAGGATAGATTAATAAGAGCCTTGCTTCTTTGAGATCATCCACGTCTCGCGACCTGAGGTGTTGGAAGGTGACAGTGCAGTAGCGTGCGGTTCTAGTGATAGGTTGCATTCTGCAAGACGGCCGGAGACGGGGACCGATGCGGATGAGCCCAGACCTTGGGTACGATTCGGTGCCTCTGGTGAGTGTGAGACGAAGCACGGCGTCGCTGTCTTCGACTCGAGGATGCGAGTCGTCAAGACAGCACAAGTTGGAGGAGGGGTTCGTCCGCTTCTTGGAAATGATTGCCCTCCACTGACTGAGCATTGGCACTGGCACTGGTACTGGCGGCGGCAGCAGGTGAGCGGTCATACCCACGGTCCACGGCTTTTCTGACGTTGCCAAACCCCGCTGGGCAGTGGGGGCGAACGGCAGTGTCGTCCAACCAGAAGACGGTGGAAGCAATCCACTGGCCACCTGTTGACGGCAGCTCAGCGGAGGGTCCACGGGTCACCTACAGGTAGGTAGGTACAGGCCAGGACCTGGAGGAGCCCGGAGTACCTGAGGACCACCAGCCAATGCCTGCCATGCAACCGTCGCTCTCGCTGTCGCCGGTGTTTTCTCGCCGTGTGCTAGAGACTTTGGGGGACAGTAGCGTTGGCGGTGCTGCGAGCGCTAGCTGCAACCTCCGGATCGCGCCCAGCTCGATCTAGGTCTATTAGACATCCAATGCGTTGCTATTGTAAGCGGGAGGCGATCTGGCTTGTCGCCTCAGCCGGAGGACGGCTCACGTCAGTTGCTCCCAAAGCTGGGAGTGAAGACGGCTTTGTGTCAATCCCGTCCAGTAGCTTCAGGAGCGTACCTAAGGTAGACAAGGAAAGGATGGAGAGTACCGGACGGGCGAAGAAGCAGAAGAAGAAAAGAAGGGAGAAAAAGTGGCCGATGTTATGGCATGATCAAGTCCGTCCGATGGTGGTGTTGCCGCGGGACTTCCCACCGGGCCAGGACCAGCATCTGTCAGTCGGATTGACATGAGGATTTTGATTACCATAATCGGAGTAATAAGTAATTAAAGGAGCCCAAGGCATCCGGTGAAATGTCATGTTTTGCGAGCGAGCATGCCCGGTGCCGACGAGAGCTTATTCGCGAGTCTCAGTGCCGTCCGTGATTGTGCGAGAATAAGGCTCGCAGGACGAGTGAAAGCCAAGGCGTGCTGTCTCCAATCTGGGCCATGGCGCTGCCCATCTCCTGCCAATGACGAGATGCCTCTCCTCTAAAAAGGTTAATGAACCCCGCTAAAGCTGCCACGTCCGGCCTTTCCTTCCACGCATTAGAAGAAGTGAAGAGTGAAGTGCCCGGAATACTGCTGAGGTGCGTGCCTACTTGTACCTTGGAGTCCAGTGCCTGACGGACGCCGCGAGGAATCCATCAATCCACGCCAGGGAAGACGAGCTGAAGGGAAACGATACGCAGACTCAGACGCAGACACAGACAACAACACGTCTCGCGGCGGTGCTTACCTCCTCCATCCCAGTGCCTCCTTCCTTCCTTGCTTCCCTCCTCATCCTACCTACTCCTCCTCCTCCTGCTGCTGCTGCTGGCACTGCTGCCGTCCCGCATCTACGTACCGAGAGGAGAGAGCCACCACACCCATCCCGTCCCACGGTTTCCCAGGGTCCGGGGATCAAGTGAATAACGAAGTACCCTCCACCTCCCGCCCTCTTTCGCATTCAGCAAAAAGTCACCCGCCCGCCGGGGCTGAACGCACCTCGTCTCTTCCATCACCTTCCTCTGTCTCCCCGAAAGTCAACCTCCACTGCTTCCTCACTCCGGCGAACATCCTCCTCGCCTCCAGCCGGACGACCTCGTCTTCTTGGCCCGTTGCGGCCCTCCGTTCACCTCTACGCCTAGTCTTGATATCTTTGCGACATACAATATGGAGCAGGTTCATGGAGTAGATGTTAGCTGGATGACCCACGGCTCTCCAAAAGGTACGCAATCATGTCCCATCTGACCTCATTTTCCAGGGCAGTTGGTGCTTGCCCCCAGTCGCAAATCGCCCGCCCAGTCACCCAGTCACACTCGTCGCTCGCTGCTCGCCTATGCCAGGCCAGCCGCCCAGAGCCTACCGCGCCCGCATCCACATCCCACCCAGCAGCCCAGTCGGCCCAGATAAGCAGCTCCCGGCCTGCGACCACTTGCCACTGGATGCCGCATCTCTGGGTCTCGCGCCCGCTGCTTATATCCAAGAACCCGTCACTTCCCGCGACTTCTGCTCCCCGTTCTCGCTCATCTTGTTCTTTGAACCAAACACACAAACGTCCGGTTACTAACCCGCAATGCGACTCACAGACAAGGCGCTGAAGCCTTCTACAGCACGGCGATCCTCGACATCCACCCCTCGAGAGATACCAACCCCTGCCTCTCCGACCGCCGGCCAGCCTCCCGTCAACGGCAACGGAAACACCAATGGCACGACGACAGACGCCACAAAAGGTTCAACAGAAGGCGCGAAGCCTATTCCTGTGGGACGTCCTCCCATAGGCAGAAGCCCGTCGAACGAGAAGTCGGGTCCCAACGGCACTCCGCCCACCCGCCGCAACTCGTGGTTTTCCAACATTTCTTCCAAGTTTTCCTCTTCTCCGAACAACAATAACGCGCAAGCGAACCAACAGCCCCAGAACACTCCCCCAAAGGACTCCGGTCCGGTGCCTCCGAAGGTGACTCCTGCGAAGAATGCAGTGCTCCCGCACGCTGCCAAGTACGATGGGGACCAGCCATACACACCAGCGCCTCCCGGCCGCGGCCAGGCTGGCTTCCTCGGAGTCTTTCGTCGATTGTCTTCCTCGGGCGGTGTTCTGGGACCAGGCGCGAAGGGCACCCATGGTTTGGTCGAGCGAAAGGTACTGAATGTTGACCGCAATCGCGAGCGCTGTCAGATTTCGGACTTGCATCAGGCGAAACTTCGAAGGGTCGCATTCAGCGTCGATGTTGAAATCGCGCCAATGCCAAAGTATGTCGATACGGATACGCCAGCGAAGAAGCCCCTTGAGAAGTCGAAGACCCGGAAAGTGACAGAAAAGGGTGAGGGTGAGGCGCTCAAGAACCCAAAGTCGCTCGAGGAACAAAAGGAGCGCGATGGAGTCATCCACGAAACAGGCGAGCCCGTACCCAAGGAGCCAGAAAGGGAAGGAACCGACCCGGCCCAGGAAAAGAAGGACGGCGAAGTTACCACTGCAAACCCACCCACGGAAAACAAGG